ATATCGTACATGACAGATATGTGCTACTGACTGTAAAGAAAAGACCCAACATTTCATGTCGTCATGTCTTGTTATACTGCGTCTCCTTTCCCAATGACGTAGGGCGACTAGAGAGGCATGTGGCTCTGACGGGGCTCGCCGGAAACGTACGTAAGTCACTGGCATCACGAAATACGAAAACGGGTAAATCAACCTATTCGAATATTTATCGCCGTTTCTAAAAAACGAGGTTTCTAAAACTTAAATACACTTGATCAAAGGACAATGTTCATTGTATAAGTCTTGGGTCACTGGATTTATCATAATTTCATCTCCTGTCTATTGCCATAGTATTCGAGGTAAGAAACAATACAGTAGTTTTGTGAGATACTGAGGATAGATCTTTGCAAGCTGGATCGTGAGATTTGTGGTGAAGAATAGATAAATGGCTGTGTTCGAGCGCTTTAGCTTCTTTCACTGAGTGGAAGCTCCATCTCCAACTCTGGGTATATCAGTTCAGCTTTTGATTAGTACCATTTAGCAAGTTATCAAAAACCGTTAAAAGTTGCCGCTTTGTGGTTTGATATACCGTTTTCCAAAGAACTTGTTATAGAGAAACTATTTGCTTCAAGAGTAACGCTTTCATGAATAAGAAAAAATTTTGAAAACTGCAAAGTTACCGTTTGCGATAATGACACCGTGTGCGTTTTTAAATGCTTAAAATCAAGCTAATTATGTCTATATTCACTCTCTCAGAGCGTTAACATCATATACCAACAAAATACCCCCGTTACTTCAATTTCATGTTTTGTTTCTCATTCTCAATAACAATCAAGTATTCTAGGCTTCATTCAAGTTACAGATTTATCCAATATTTCCCATTTTTAATCCTTGTAATCCAACATAGTCATCTACTGTTGTTTCTAGGGCAGATAGTAAAGTGGGAGATTGTGGGTCGTCGTTGTCAAAGCCGATCAATGACGGAAATGTTGTGAAGAAGATGAAGAAAAAATTAGGAGGTTCGCAGAAGATACGTATGAAAAAAAGATTAGCTTCGAAGTACGAGCGTATCGAAGCCGTGCTCAATCAACGAGGTAATTTTCTAATCTTCTGCTAGCTTCCATATCAAGAAAAAGTTCTTATGCATCTGGGATTACTAGGTTGAATAGATCGACTCAAATTACTGTTTTACGAGAAAGGTGAAAGTATCACTGTGTTCGCTATGCAAACATTGCATTCAGAAGTGGTCGCATTTGGAGAACGTTATGACGCTCCACCGGAATACAAAGGAACAATGAAGGTTGAGATGGATTCGTTGATGGCAAATGTATGCTTGCTACGGCAACATTTTCTTTCTTTTTGCTTCAGATATTCGTTAAAATAGCATTCGTTTCTTAAACTTTCCTTATCATTTTAATAGACTTCATTTGCTGGTGCAGCAATTCATACTGATTCAAGGCACTGTGTAGCTGCAGCGGGTACAATACACGACGGCTCTGATGGTATCTCTATGATACCCGGAAACTTGTTTCGTTAAAAAGCGAGATACTTTACTTTATCCAATATTCAAAGGTCGTATTGTCCATTACGTGTATTGGTAAAAGTCATATATGGCTTCTTTCAGCGATTATTCTACTAGATAAAGGATTTCCTTTCCTTTCCATAGTCTTAGAGGTTTTTTGCTTAATTTCCAAGTGTCGACAGGAGTATTCTCTAGCGCAGCGGTAGTGACAACTTTGTGAGAAGCACGGTGATGGGACCTCAATCAGGATGGTCGAGATTCATTCAAACATCCAAAGTTTCAGATGGGTAGTGAATTTGTGTGAGGTCGGTTAACTCTGTGCAACCTACATGGCAGTGTCCTAGCACAGCCGTAAGAAAATTCTCGCGTGAAATCAACTCGACTAGCATCCAATGCCATTCACAGTGATTACGGATTGCATTAACCAACTGCTAAAGCCACCCACAAGAAACTGAAAAACCCATTAAGGGTGATGAATGCGGAGGCTAGAATTAAATGCAAAAATAGTGGGATCACTGCAGTAAATGTCATGCTATTGAAAATTAAAAAAGGATGAATATTGGTTATCGTATAGAATTGGTGAGTATGGGAAGTTAGAATAGACATATATTTACAAAATACTTTCAAATACTGGTATAAATGTGATTCGCCTGTATCACATGCCGTCCCGTTGATCGTCGAGTGACTCGAGCGGGTACCAGCAACACTTCCATTTTTCCCTATCGCGTGCAATAGTAGCCCAGTGGGTCCTCCTCGCTCCAGGGATCGTTAAGCATCATATCTTTCTTCTAGGCTTCTCATGAAAAAAAACTGGGACTATCGAGTTGGTGGTATTCCTTTAGATCGCTTGCTATCTCGAGGAATCCAGTCGCTAACGGCTTTGGTCCTCCGGTTGTTGTTTAAGCGCATCACGTGTCGGCCCTTACCTCGAATGTGATTAGATATTATTTTTCCGACAAGTAAAGATTGTTTGCCCAACGAGTGATAGGCTCTTTATGTTCACACCATTCACTTGTTAGGACGGATACATTGAAATTGTCCGTTGTAGGTTAATGACGAAGTTGATAACCTTGAGTAGTAAAAGGAGCATATTTCATTATTATATATCTTAGTACGTGCCATTCCATGTGTACATCCCATTCTAATGACACCTGACGGAGTATTCCAAGCCAGCAGACCAGGTTGACCGATTTCATAACATGATAACATCATGCTCTCAACTCACAACACAAAATTGCAGGGAGGGGTAATTTGTAAGTCGAGTCGCAGAAATAAAAAGCAAGTGATTTATCTGATGATTTGAGCTCGCAGCATTTCATGGTAATAGCCGATCATTTGAGATCTACCTTTTAACCATTTGTTAAAGACGTTGTGACGTCAATTTTTCTTCTACCTTTGTAGGTGCACTTGTGAGCTCATTGGGAGAAAAGTCACACTTCAAAACCACGAAACTCATGTATCATTACTTCCAGGCTGGAGCTAAAAATCTGCTCCTACGCTCGCTTCTGCCACAAAAGCATACACCAACTACTACTACGTGCTTGGAAGATAGTACGAGGTCAAAACCGGGAGAAATCGACCGTCAGCGAGTTATTGATGCATATCGAGAATTGAAACGGAAACGAATTTCTTAGGATATAGGAGGAAAACTTTGTCATTAAGGTCTTACTGAAATCGCGGTTGTAAGAATCTTCATTTATCATGGTTGTTACTTATTTCCAAATAAATGGTTGGAGATTGCGCTTTGTTCCTTATTTTTTTGATAGACAGATAACTCAACTGCTCTTATAAGCTGAGTGGAACATTGTCCAGGATCTTGTGATGCTCTGCTTTCACATATGAACATAGGTAGCTCTATCCATCTTCGATGGTTCTTTTCGCGACTCCGCCGCCACAAAAGAACCAAGTGAATGGGTAGTGTTCAACAACCTACGCAATTCGGAAGCGGGTAGTCGTGCTATTCAGCTTAGCGCATTTCGAAGCTGAGTGGAGAATAACATTTGTGCTTAAGTCACTATTGAACTCAAGTGCCGCTTCTGTATCATTGTGAATTACCTTCATCTAGAGATTTTCATTTCTGGAAGCAAAATTCTTAGAATGAATGGAAATCAGATGCTTATATTTGGGATGGCTATGGGAAGTTAGGAAATTATTGCGAACCGAAATATGTCAGAAATCAAGCAGTTTTCCAAACAACATTACTATTTATACAGGATTATATGCCTGCACACATGGCTTTTTGGGTACTATGAAAAGCATCCTCAATCAACTGCCATCTATCGTGCAATAAAAGTGCCCCTAACGTTCGAGTGTGCCAGTTGAGGTTATGGAAATATCTGGTTAGTTGAAATTGTCATTCTTCATTTCATTCATTCTTACCTTCTTGAGCTCTAAAGAATGCTAAGTATGCCGAAAGGTCAACTATCTTAGGTAGATAAGTGTTAAAATTTATCCTTTGAGTAGTAAAATAACTCTAAAGCTAGACTTCTGCTATCGACTGCTTTTTTACAGACCCGCTCAAAACGATTTAATCTGATAAGTATATTACTTGTTTTGAGCCGAAAGGTCTAGTGCTATATAGGCGCCTATTTCGTCCTATTGGGACTCATCAGTAGCACCCTCCCTCGGTTCCGTCGATTCCTTGAGGCTAAATAATCCTCTAAGAAATCGATGCCGAGTAAAAATAATAATCACCTGAAGTCGTATGATGGTCTTACCTGACTTTTTGGTGACCGGCAGTCGAGCTTGCGGCTTTTGAAATGAACTATACTTCTGCTATCGACTGCTTTTTACAGACCCGCTCAAAATGATTTAATCTGATAAGTATATTACTTGTTTTGAGCCGAAAGGTCTAGTGCTATATAGGCGCCTATTTCGTCCTATTGGGACTCATCAGTAGCACCCTCCCTAGGTTCCGTCGATTCCTTGAGGCTAAGTAATCCTCTAAAGAAATCTACGCCGAGGAAAAAATAATAATCACCTGAAGTCGGATGATGGTCTTACCTGACTTTTTGGGTCTGAGCGGGTCTGTAAAAAAGCAGTCGATAGCAGAAGTATAGTTCATTTAAAAGCCGCAAGCTCGACTGCCGGTCACCAAAAAGTCAGGTAAGACCATCATCTGACTTGAGGTGATTATTATTTTTACTCGGCGTCGATTTCTTTAGAGGATTATTTAGCCTCAAGGAATCGACGGAACCGAGGGAGGGTGCTACTGATGAGTCCCAATAGGACGAAATAGGCGCCTATATAGCACTAGACCTTTCGGCTCAAAACAAGTAATATTCTAAAACTAGAATCATCTTTAATATCGATGTAATCTGAAAAGAGTTTGACAGTGTTAATTAGCTGCTCCCATTTCACATCACCATAGTGGCAATAACTTCACAAAGTGGCTCTCATGAAGAGGACGTCCAAGGCATAATTATGTTTCTCCGCTTATGCCTAACAATATCCACAAACACACGTTGCTCGTAAGGGTATCGAGTGGTACGCAAAAACCAACCCCAGGCGCGAGTTGAACCCGCATTTCACTCGTGCCGTGAGCGTGTGCTACCACTGCACCACCAGGGCTACTGCTTTGCTATCGATATGAACTATCTTAGATATCTGTTTACAATATCATAACGTTGCTAGAATGCACTAAAATTTTCGAAGAAATTCATATAGATCACACATAGCTTGATTTTTTTGCTAGTATCTTGTGTATCCTACGGCAAGAAAATGTGGGAGTGCTCAGTAGTCATAGTTGATATCGTCAGAAATTTCAGAGGATTGACAGATATAATTGACAAACATCATTGCCTCACGCAGAACCGAACCCACACGCTTCCACCTTCGCTGGAACGCGCACCCACTGCGCCATTAACTCAACGCCATGTCAATGCGTGCACATTGCTATCACATGTGAGGGAGTACCATCCTTGAACAAGATAATACTTAAGACGATGATTTTTGACAATTAGGATATCGGGAGGTTTAAGGGTTTTGGAAGACATAGATAGATTGCTTTATTGCTCTAATGGTATTAGATTGTTTTCTTTTCGTTTCTTTGTTTCCATCTACACCTATCAACTTCGAATTCACTACATTAATTTAGCAATTAAAATGAAATTTGGCAATGTATTTGAGCCTTTAATGAGGTCTATTATGGGCACATATACAGTGCAGGACACGTGTTTCGGCTCACAGCCTCTTCAGTTGCACGGTGCCTTCTCGTTCAGTCAGTTCCTCCGGGATTTACCCCTATATAGAGCTCTTGAGCGAGGTCATATAATAGTCGATTGCAATGTTTGTTACATATGCTCACGTATCAGCAATACACCATGCAATCGACATTCAGTCACGCTGCAAAGAACTTCACGGTGATTGTTTCACCCTACGTTGAGCGTTAAAAGTTCGTCGTCGATTTCCTCTATATTGAGGTAGATAGATCTCCGAGCAACTGATTTAGCGAAAAGGCACCGTGCAACTGGCGAACCTGGAAGGCCGAAACATGTGTACAAGTGCCCATTACAGACCTCTTGAAAGGCTCAAAATACATTGTCAGATTATATTGTTCTTGAACGAGGCCTCAAAATAGTCGATTGTAATGTTTGTTAGAACGAAATTCTAAAAAATTCAGCAGTAGGAGGAAATGAGCCACGAGAACAGCAGCTGCTGAATCTATATCAGCAATGCATTCAAAGGAGTTGAAAGGTGAGTTTGGTTATGAAATGACCTTTTTTCGCCTATTTTCTCACTTCTCGAAGGATTCTTTGAACTAAAGTTACTTTTGATTTGCATATGGTTAGTCCTCAATTGAAAATCACGGTGAGTCCGAGACGTGATGGCGCTTCAACGGCAACCAATGGACTAAGAGCCGTTACCGACTGGATTTCTCGGGATATCGAGCGCTTTGCAGGAAGACCACATTCCCGGTGGTCCCATTTCTTCGTGAGAATCCTAGAGTATGGATATGGTGCTCAGCGAATCCCTAGAGCGAGGAAGCCCACTGGGTTACTCTTGCACGCGATAGGGAAAAATGGAAGTGTTGCTGGTACTCGCTCGAGTCACTCGACGATCAACGGGACAACAGGTGATACAGGTGATAGTTAGTCCCTCAAACAGAGAACAGTGTATGCAATCATGAGGTTGATAGCTTTAATGTGCACAAGGGGCCGATAGCATAAGGGCAAAGTCGTCCATCATGATTACGGTGCTAAATCAATCCTGTACCAGGCTCTTAAGGCCTCTGTTCCTTTCCGAATACTTGATAAATTGTTATCACACTTTCCAGGCCTCTCTTTCTTACTCCACCAAATCTACACAACAACGTATCTGTCATAAGTATCCCACGACTCGAGAAGAAATTGACTCGACCAGTATCCAATGATGTTCATCAAGACGACAATTCTCAAGCAACACACTATACGCACACGTAAAAAGTGCGAAGATTTTTGTGGCTACCGAATATAAGGGAACGAATGGGATCCAAGAATTGCCGAGATCCGCAGAGTCAGAGTGAATATGAGTTATGTAAAGAAAAAAGTACTTAGGCAGTCTGTTTTTATATCTCCGTTAGTTGCTCAAGCTACATATTAAGTGATTTATGAAGGACGAGCCCACAAGTGTGCTACAAATACAAATTCAGGACTGAAACATTGAAATCTACGCCAGTCTGCTTTTATAGGATATATTCTACATAATATAAGCGATACTGCATATCCTCGATATGAGCGCATGTGTCGCAGTGGTTAGAGGTGCTCTCTGTCGCAGACAAGATTGATGGTTCGATCTCGCGCTCATGACTCACCAAGTCATCCATCCCTCCGAGGTTGGTAAACTGGTACGATACTGGTCTCACACTTGTCTGGGAAGATAAGCAACACTAACTAAATATAGCGGGAGGTCACTGCGAGTCACGGCAAAGGCCAGATATGCATTCAATCACCTCGAAGGAGGTTAAAAATTGAAAACGAAACCATGGCGCATCCCTCAGGAACGTACTGTATCGCTGTACTTTACTGCTGTTGTTCCAAACTGATTACTGCGATAGGCAGTCGACCCAAATTTGAGATTCTGCCCTAGAATGATACCAAGAAGTTCCTCATGGAAAACTGGTGCCATGTCAAGCATACTGCGACGGCTAGTGGTATTCGTTTTGTAAAGCCGTCTAAAATCTATGAAATCTATGTTCTTCAAAAGCTATTACTGCCACAGCTTATCCATACAAAAAACTGTAAATGGTTGTTATGTGGAGAAAAAATTTTTGGGAACGCCACTGACAACTAAAGTGCACCAAGAGAACAGTCAAAGACTGAACATAAATGAGTATACAAATTATGCTACATTTTCACTTGCATGAAGAGCAAAGTGGAAAAAAGTAGTGATTTAATCCCACCCAACGACGCATTTTTTGTTGATCGGACTGGTTCAAACGACAAATTCCATTAAGTTCAAACTAAGAGTAGCTAGTTCCAACTTTTGTTCATTATATTCTTTTACAGAACAGTTTACGATGTCAAGTGCAATCACCAAATGCTGAATTAAGAGCATAACTCAAAATTTAGGTCACATCGTACCCTACCAATAAGAAGAATAGGCGGGTGAATAAAGACTAGAACACTGTGAATTGCGCTGAACTTTTATTCAACTGGATTTAATACTTATTTGTGTTCCTTAGAGCACTCCGTTGACGGTGGCTGCTAATAGCACCGATGATGGCTGAGAGAAAAGTAAAGTAAGAGACTCGGTGCTGCAATGGTCAACGAGTGAGTTCCCGCAAAAGCGATGGCACGCTCGAAGTCCACCAGAGGTTCTGGTTTTCTCTATACCTCAGCATTCTTGCAAAAGTATCTAGATGTCGCAAGCACATTGTTTACCTTCTCTGTTCCATATTGTTCCACGACACTTAAACCTAAATACATTTATACCTGGACGATAACTATGAATTAAAGCATGAAAAACTTTCGTTAGACGAAATAACAATGCAGTGTTCACCGGCGCTTACAACAAAGGAGGAAAGATACAATAGTATTTGACAGTCAAATGTATAAAATGCACTACAGGAATCACATTCAAGTGGTCAGTTATATCTCAATTTCATCATGAAACCTGACAAATGAATAAATTCGGGGAAAGCTATTGTACATTTCACGTTACTAAGGCTCATTTTTTAAAATGCTCTTGTGATATGGATGCCAGGGAATAAGGATACCTGAGAGGATAAAACGCAACGTACAGATATTTTTCGTCCGACATGCAAAGGACTGGACTTAGGACAAAAACAGTGAGAGTGGAAAATACAACAGAAGATATGTAGCAACCACAGAAAGTTCATATAACCGCTGTTAATTTATGCCAAGCAAATATACCCGTTTTATATAAGAACAAAGTTGTGCTTTGGTTACATCGACAACGCAAGGTGGAAAAGTGAAAAAAGATAAAATGCATTAGCTACCACCAGATATTATACCTTACAAAATTGAGAACAAAAGAAAAACTACATTATTTTGCTATATTAAATGGATAAGAACCATTACTAAAATAACCAGCTGCTGAATTAAACATGAAATCAGTAGCGGAGGGACCGACTGTGAACGGTGCTGGATTTCCGCTTGCACCACCGAATGATGCCATTCCTTGCGGATATCTATGCCACGCAGCGGCAGTTGACTGAGATCGACCATTTACTGGTGTCATACCATTTGGATATGGATATGGAAACCCCGTTGGATTCGCGGGCATCATCGGACCTGAACCTTAGTTTTTTTTTTCAAAATCACAATACTGTAGTGCCCTATTCTACTTATTCTTTACTCGCGCCTTGTTCTCAATCAACTGGTATTAAAGTGTATGAATAGTTGGGTCATTTTTTTTTGAAATTCCTTACAAAAGGAAGTTGTGAGCATTAAAAAAAAACCACGATGATTAATGCGCACCCATTCAATTACCAACATGATAGTGTCAAGGCAGTTCTTCTCTAGAGTCTTGGAAAAACTGCGAAGAGCTTTCCCACTTCAAAACCACATGAGGCTGTGTAAGACGTGACTTCACCTAAAAACTCACCCATGGCGGGCGCAGCTTTCGCAGCTGCGTAATGTTGATAGCCTGTTTGCCAGTACGGACTCGCACTCGCAAATCCCGCCGCTGTAGGGTCGAAGTGAGTCGGATATGCCGCCTGATATGGCGAATATGTTTGAGGATGTGTGGCGCTGGTCATAGTCGCATAAGGGTTTGTCGTAAACGACATTGGATGCATCGCTGCCATGTGTTGTTGTTGTTGTTGTTGCTGTAGAAGAACACTATGAAAATCACAAGTACGATAAAACAACAATTACTAGATATAAGAGCAGGTAATTACGAAAAAAAAAACCCATTGAAAAATGAATAAAATATTGAAAAAAAGAAAGTGGGGATAAAATACATTAGCCCTTTAAGGACGGTAGGATAAACTTACTCAAAGTCTACAGTTCAAACATGAGCGACCTTTCTGTTTTATCTGCAGATGCCAATAATTTCTCGAAAACAAGGGCATTATAAAAATTGGGAACTTGAGAGACTTACAGTAAAGACTTTGTTATATTGCTACT